AAAAAAAAAAAGGAGTGAGTGTGAGCCGTTGGCCCCAGGGGCCTGGTACTGGGGATTAAGGGAGAAGACTGAGTCCATGTTTGTGTGTGGAAAGCCTGAAGTTGGTGGCATGGGAGGGGGCCCACAGAAGAGGGTGGGGCCCTGCACTTCAGGCCCAGAGCTTAGCTGGTGTCTCGCTGCTCACCCGCCTGTGGGGGGACTGACGCGGGTCAGGTGAGGCATGAGAAAAGAGCTGACATCCGTGGAACCAGGGCCTGGGATCTCCTCTGAGTTGGGAAGCTGGGAGGTGGGGGAGCAGGGGACAGACAGGGAGTCCTGAGGAGAGAAGCTGATCGTGGAATGGACTGTCCCCATCATGGCAGGGCTGTGTGACCTTTGAGGACGTGACCATTTACTTCTCCCAGGAGGAGTGGGGGCTCCTTGATGAGGCTCAGAGACTCCTGTACTGCGACGTGATGCTGGAGAACTTTGCACTTATAGCCTCGTTGGGTAAGGCCTTCGCACCCACCCGGTGTCCCGGGCTCATTTCCACCTGTCCCCGTTTCTTTCCCGTGGCCAAACCATGGGCAACGCTTCCTTCCCCACTCTCCCGGGATACGTGCTGCGTGCAGGGTTCCCCTCCCCGCCCGACTCCCTGAGCAGCCCCAGTACCTGCTGCCCCAAAACCTTGTGGGGAAGGGGCTGGAATGAGGAATCTTGTAGGCAGCCCAGTGGATCCCGGCCAGCTTGGTCAGTGTCCACCTGGGTGACCATTTCCTTCGGCTGACGTTTCCTAAGGCCCGACTGCTAGGAATTCTAGGCCCTGCTGTGACCACTGGGATTTTCCGGCCGTACCTCCCCAGTGTGTTCTTTTTTGTAATATTTCACTTTCTTTCCTGTGGTCTGTCAGCAGGTAGTTCACCTGGCCAAGTGCTGGCCACTCACCTGCCCCGTCTTTCCCGTAGGACTTACGTCTTTCAGGTCTCACATAGTTGCCCGGCTGGAGATGGGAGCAGAGCCATGGGTGCCTGACAGAGTGGACATGACTTCCGCCATGGCAAGAGGGGCATACAGTGGGCCCGGCTCTGGTGAGTCGGGGATGGGAGAGCGTGTGACGTCCGTGCTGTCTGCAAATCATAACTGCAATCTTTCTCGCGTTCGTCATTGTTTGGGTGCCAAAGCCAATGGGCACATCTCTCTTCGACCTTTCGTTTCCCATTCTTGACGCATCGCCCCCCCTGTCATTTTCTGCTGACTTGGGACCCCTGGCTGGGCCCCACCTGTCTGGCCTTCCCATCTCACTCTTGCCACAGCTCCCTCTGTGACAGTCTCCCGCATGGACCTACACTCCTTATGTCATGATATGTGTATATTCCCTTCAGTAGTCCTTAAACACCAGCTACTTACTTGCAGTCAGATCTTCCTGGGCCTGGACACACCTTCTGCACAGGGCTCGTGTGTTACCAACAGCCAAGGCCCCGCCGAAAAGCCTTTATGGAGGAGTTGGAGGGGCGCCTGGGTGACTCAGTCGGTTGAGCATCCGACTTTGGCTCAGGCCATGATCTCCCAGTATGTGAGTTCGAGCTCCACGTTGGGCTCCGTGCTGACGGCTCAGAGCCTGGAGCCTGCTTCGGAATCTGTATCTCCCTCTCTCTCTGCCCCTCCCCTGCTTGCACTCTCTCAAAAATAAATAAACATTAAAAAAAAATTTTAGAGGAGTTGGAGACCCCACCTTTAGGCTCAATACGTGTGCCCCATCATTGTGTCCTTCGTCCTGGTAAGACCCCCCTGTTTTGTGACCTTGCCAGACACGGTACTGTCGAACAGAACCTTCCTCACCCTGACCTCGGGTTTCTTATCTTGCCAGCAATCCCGTGGACTCATTCCTGGGTCAGGCATGCGTTTGTCATGGGGCCGCTTCCTTCCAGCAGAGTTCTTGTTAACTTCACCAGCATTTCTCTGCTTTCAGATTTTTGCTCTGGAACAGAGGGTGAGCATAGTGCGTCTGTGGAAGGAGTGCCACGTGACCGGAATCTCAAGGCAGCTCCGTCTGGCCAGAAGGACTACTCCTGCGACATGTGTGGCCTACACTTGAAAGACATTTTGGCCCTGGCTGAACACCGGGCAGCACATCCCAGGCAGAAGCCGTATGTGTGCCAGGCATATGGGAGAGAGTTCAAGTCCAGTGCGTACCATAACCAGCATCAGATGCAGCAGGGTGTAGACAAGCCTATCAGAAGGGATGAGGACAGGGCCTCCCTCATGAAGAGCTGCAGAGATGATGCATCAAAGAAACCTTTCACGGTCAGGGAGGGTGGGAAGGACTTTGCGGATGGGAAGGCCGGATCCGGCTTCCTGCCGCATCAGGTCCCTCACAGAGTGGAGGAGCCACCCCGGGACACTGGTGTCGGGGATCGTCACACCGTCCAAAGCCATAACAAGTGCAGCGAGTCTGGGAACACTTTCAGTGACAAACGCGCACTCGTTCAGCACCAGAGAACCCACGCTGGAGAAAGGCCTTATGAGTGCAACAAATGTGGGATATTCTTTAGCCATGCCTCCGGCCTCCTTCAACACCAGAGAGACCACAACAGAGGAAAGCCTTATGAGTGCCGGGAATGTGGAAAGTTCTTCAGCCAACACTCCAGTCTCGTTAAACATCAGAGAGTTCACACCGGGGAAAGCCCGCACGTGTGCAGCGAATGTGGGAAGTTCTTCAGCCGGAACTCCAACCTCATTCAACATAAGAGAGTTCACACTGGAGAGAAGCCTTATGAGTGCAGCGAATGCGGGAAATTCTTCAGCCAGCGCTCCAACCTCATTCATCATAAGAGGGTTCATACTGGCAGAAGCGCTCACGAGTGCAGCGAGTGTGGGAAATCTTTCAACTGCAACTCCAGTCTCATCAAACATTGGAGGGTTCACACTGGAGAAAGACCTTACAAGTGCAACGAATGCGGGAAATTCTTCAGCCACATCGCCAGTCTTATCCAACATCAGATAGTCCACACTGGCGAACGGCCTTACGGGTGCAGCGAATGTGGGAAAGCCTTCAGCCGGAGCTCTGACCTCATGAAGCATCAGAGAGTCCACACTGGGGAACGGCCTTATGAGTGCATCGAATGTGGGAAATTGTTTAGCCAGAGCTCCAGCCTCAATAGCCATCGGAGACTTCACACTGGCGAGCGGCCTTATCAGTGCCCCGAATGTGGGAAATTCTTTAACCAGAGCTCCAGCCTCAATAACCATCGGAGACTTCACACCGGCGAGCGGCCTTATGAGTGCCTCGAATGTGGGAAAACCTTCAGGCAAAGGTCTAATCTGAGGCAGCACCAGAAGGTTCACAAACCAGACAGGCCATATAAGTGCAGTGAATGTGGAAAAGCCTTCAGCCAGAGGCCTACCCTTGTCCGGCATCAGAAAATTCACATCAGAGAAAGGAGTGCAGAGAATGTGCTTCCTCCTCCAGCACAACCGTGCGCACTGGAGATAAGCTCTGAGGGCAGACTTTATGAGGGGGCCATCAGCCAGAGGTTGAACCTTGTTCATCCCAATGTCCACACTGGGAAGATTCCCTATGAATGCTAGTTATGTTGAAAGCTTTCTGGAACAAAGTTGCATTTTTCTCGCCACGGACTTTACCAGACCTTTGTCACTGCGAGTGTTTGTGGTGGGAGCCCTTTCAGCATTCCCAAGGACAGCAGGTCTCCAAGAGTGTGTCTCAGCCAGTCCCTGTGTTCAGACCTCTTCTTGTTTCAAGAGGGAATCCTGTGGAGCCTGAGGCCAAAGGAAGATGTCATTCCCTCCCTCTGTGACCAGTGTAGCTGTGGACACGACCCATCTTTGACCATGAAGACCTGAGCTGGATTCTGCTGGCAGCTTGCAGAAAAGGTTTCCCTTTCGTCAAGGATGGTTGATCTCCTGTGATGCTCATGATGGATTTATCCAGACTCCACATTACCTATCCCAGCAACTACCTAGTTCACATTGCCTTATTGTAAAGCCACCTTTAGTATGTTTTGATCCTTGTGAAGTGGGTTGAGGACACAGTTGAGGTCTCCCAAACTAAAAGGGTCTCCAAACATTGCCTCAGAGGGGACGTTGCCACAGGATGGTGGAGAACACCTCTCGGTCCAGATTTGGCCTCCTTTGTGAGTTGCTATACAAGGCCTCCTGGGGAAGATTGTAGGACTCTGTGGGACTAATGTGATCCGAACGGCATGAATTTTTGTGAACCAGAGATTACCCTGAGGACGGGGCAGTTGTGACAACCTCCACTGCATCTGGGAGCTGCATGAATAGGGCCCCATGTTTCCAGGGGATGCCTCACTTTCCCTAGCACTGTTAAGCAGGCACCATTTACCTGGCACCTGTCAAGGAGCCATACGCCTTGAAGTCTAGCATCTGGTATACTGGTGTCCTAACTAAGCCTTACTGGGCCCAGTTGAGAGCATAATTTGTATGGAAGCACTTGGGGTGACAACGGAGTAGGTGAGGCTGCAGCAAACTAGAGGGAATGTACCTATTCTAAAAGTGCATCCACAGGTGTCTCCTTGAATGTGACTGTGCAGGATTCAGGCTTTGCAGAAATTCTCAGGACCTCCAGACCTCTGTCCTATGACTTAGGCCACTGGCAGAGCAAAACTCTAAAGGTTTTGTGGCCACTAAGGCACTCTGCACCATTCATGCCACAGCCATTGCTGCCTTGGCAGGAAAATGGAGGCTGAGCGAAGGTAGGTCTTGTATTCCAGGGATGTAGCATTTGTGACATAGCCAGCCATTTTTGCCGCCAAGGCATGAGAGAGCGAGAATAGAGTCAACATAGGGTTACCAAACCTAATTTTCTAAAATGAATGTGCAACAATTTCCTTAAATGCTTTAATGAGATAGGATTGTCATGCAACAGTTGTACATATTTGATGTGCACAATTTCATAAGTTTTTCAGTACGTGTTACGCTCAGGGAACCAACACCATCATGATAACGAACGTATCCATCACCCGCAAAGCTACCTCGTGCCTTTTACCGGCCCTCCTTGCCTTCCCAGAAAACCATAAATTTACCTTTTCTTTTTTTCACCATAGATTTGTTGGCCTTCTTAGAATTTTATACAACTGGAGTTATTAAGTACTTATACCCTACATTTGGTCTGTTTTCCTTCACGGCGTAATTTTCTTGAGAATTATCCATGCTGTGTGTAGGAATAGTTCATTCCTTTTGCCACCGAGTAGTGTTCTATTGAGTGAATCCATCATAATTTTTCATGCTTTATTTTTTTAATTAAAAAATATCTGGTAAAATACACTTAACAAAATTTGCCATGGTAACTATCTCTAAGTGCACAGTTCAGGGGTATTAAGAACATTCATGTTGTGCAGCCATCACCACCATGCACATCCCGAGCCCTTTTCATCTTGTAAAACAAAGCCTGTACCCGTTAAACAATAACTCCAATGTCCCCCCTCCGCTGAGCCCCTGGAAACTTCCATTCTACTTTCTGTCTCTGTGAATTTGACTACTCCAGATACCTCGTATGAGTGAAGTCATACAGTATTTGTCTATTTGTGACTGGTTTATTTCACTTAGCATAATGTCCTCAAGGTTCATCCATGTTTTATAGCATGTGTCAGAATTTCCTTTTTTTTTTTTTAAGGCTGAATAATATGCCGTTCAATTTCTATGTCATATTTTGCTTATTCATTAATCTTTCAATGGATATTTGGTTTACTTCCACCTTTTGGCTATTGTGAATCATGCAGCTATGAACATGGGTGTACAAATATCTCTTTGAGACCTTTCTTTCTGTTCTTTTGGATATATACCTGTTAGTGGAATTACTGGATCATATGGTAATTATATGTTTAAGTTTTTGAAGAGCCTGCATACTGTTTTTCACAGTTGCTCTATCATTTTACATTCCTACCAACCGTATACACGGGTTCTAATTTTTCTACATCCTCACCAACACCTGTTTTTTCTGAAAAAAAAACATTTTTAAATATTTGAGTAGCATCTATCCTGATAGATATGAAGTGGTTTCGTGTTTTTATCATGAAAGGGTGTTGGATTTTGTCAAATTCTTTTTTGTATCAATTGAGAAGGTCATATATTCTTTGTTCTGTTAACGTGGTGCATTACACTGATTGATTTTCATATGTCGCACTATCCTTGCATTCCAGGAATAAACCCCACTCCAACATGGTGTATAATCCTTTCAGTATGCTGCTAAACTCTGTTTGCTAGTATTTTGTTAAAGATATTTACATCAGTGTTCATAAGGGATACTGGTCTGTACATTTCTTATAGTATCATTTTCTGGCTTTGGCATCAGGACAACTAAGTTAGGAATTGTTCTCTCCAAGTTTTTGAAATATTCTTAACAAAGATCACTGCTACTTCTTTAATGTGTAAAATTCACCAATAAAGTCATTGGGTCCAGAGGTTTGTTTGTTGTGGGGAGGTTTTTAGTTGCGTATACATTATACTCACTACTTACACGTTTATTGAGATATTCTCTTCATGATTCAGTCTCAATAGGTTTTGTGTTTTTAGGGAGTAGTCTATTTCATCTCAGTTCCATTTTTGTGTGTGTGCACACTTGTTCTTGGTACTCTTGTAATCCTTTTCATTTCTGTAGAATTGGTAGTAATGTCCCCACTTTTATTTCTGATTTTAGTAATTTGAGTCATCTCTCTTTTTTAGTCACTCTAACTAAAGGTTTGTCAATTTTGTTAATCTTTTTAAAGAACCTTCTTCTGGTTTATTGTATTTCTATTCTCTTTAATCTCTAACCTTTATTATTTCTTTTGTCTAGCTCTTGGTTTAGTTTGTTCTTTTTCAAGTTCTTTAAGTTGTAAAGTTGTTGATTTGAGATCTTTCTTTTTTAATGTAAGCTTCCTCCTTCATACTGCTTTTGCTGCATTTCATGAATTTTGGTGTGTTGTGTTTTTGTTTTCTTTCATCTCCAAGTATTTTCTAATATTCCTTGTGATTTCTCCTTTGTTCCATTGATTAAATATGGGTTAATTTCCACAAATTTGTGAATTTTCTAGTTTGCCTTTTATCAATTTCTAACTTTGTCCTATTGAGTTTGGACAAAATACTTTGCATAATATCTACCTTTTAAAATCTATTAAGCCTTAATTTGTGGCCTAACATGGTCTATCATAGAAATATCCCATGTGCACTTGAGAACAGTGTGTTTTCTATTGTTGTTGGTTAGAATATTATGTAAATTTCCACTAGTCTGATTGGTTTATGTGTTGTTCAAGACCTTTATTTCCTTACTGACTTTTTGTTTATTATTGAGAATGGTCTCCAACTATTGTAAAACTGTCCACTTCTTCTTATCAATTTTTGCTTTTTATGTTTTCTTGGTCTGTTATTAGTTTCATAAATGTTTATAATTGTATATCCCTTCTTACTGGACATTTTATTACAATATAAAAATGTCCAAATTTGTCTCATAACTTTTTAAAATTTAAAGTCTGTTTTGTCTGATATTAATATAGCCACCCTTACTGTAATTGCTTATTATTTATATGGAATATGTTTTTCCATCCTTTCACTTTCAACCTACTTTTGTCTTTGGCTATAAAGTTAGTCTCTGTGGACAACATATAGTTGGATCTTCTTTTTTTTAATTATTTTTTAATGTTTACTTTTGAGAGAGAGAGACAGAGTGGGGAGGGGCAGAGAGAGAGGGGGACAGAGGATCTGAAGTGGGCTCTGTACTGACAGCAGAGGGCCTGGTGTGGGGCTTGAACTCACAAACTGTGAGATCACGACCTGAGCTGAAGTCTGACGCTTAACTGACTGACTGAGTCACCTGGGTACCCTAGTTGGGTCATTTTTAAACATCCATTCTGTCAGTTTCTGTATTTTGATTGGAGAGTTTAATCCACTTACATTTAAAGTAATTACTGATAAGGAAGGACTTCTGTCATTTTGCTATTTGTTTTCTATATGGCTTTTGGGTCCCCATTTCCTATAGTACTGTCTTTTGTTTTTGATTGTTTTAATGTAAAATGTTTTAACGCCCTTCTCATTTCCTTTTGTGTGTATTCTATAGCTATTTTCTTTGTGGGTACCATGGAGATTATGTTGAACATCCTAAAACTATAACACTCTAATTTGAATTTATATTAGCCTAATTTCCATACCATACGAAAACTCTGCTCCTACGCAGTTCCACCTCCAACCCTTTCAGTTATTGATATCACAGAATTACATCTTTATACATTTTAGGTCCAAAATATATGCTAATAATTGTTTTTTAAAAATGCATTATCTTTTTAAATCGTGGAAATTAACGAAGTTATAAACCAAAGTTACAATAATAGTGGTTTTAAAAATTGCACTTGTATTTACCTTTACAGGTGATCTTTATTCCTTCACACGGCTTAGAGTTAGTCTAATGTCCTTTGACTTCAAATGGAAGGACTCCCTTTAGCACTTCTTGCTAGGCAGGTCTAGTGATTGTGAACTTCCTCGGATTTCGTTTATCTGAGAATTAATTTCCCCCTTACTTTTGAAAGACAATTTTGCCAGATACATGATTCTTGGTTACCATTTTTCTTTTCTTTCAG